TCTTTATATATATTAACTGATCATATATTATGTTTATAAAATCCTAACAGCACTGTAAAGTTCTGTCTGACACGCGAGATGTTTTTAATATCCCGTACATTACTTTTGACCTTTATTAAGCAGTTACTTTTATACTGCACTCAGATCTGTGCGCCGGGTTTTATGTTTTCTTTATAGTGTTGTTACATGGATGTCTCCCTATCCCACTGACCGGGCTGCAGGATCAGCGCATACGTCTTCTATGGATTAACTATCAGAATAACCGGAGCTCCTTTATCACTAATAATATACAGTCCACAGCCAACTGATCTAGTTGTGCAAGTTGGTGACTTCTGTTTTATGTAAATAATCCTAATGTTTGCCTCAGAGTGAATCACTCTCTATGTCTATACAGTATAAAAAAAACATCCTCATCACTTCCTATTAGAATGCGGCCTAATCAATCTGCTTACATACTCTGCAGGGAAGGTGCAATATTTCTGGCTTTAGTGTCTGAAATAATACACTCTCATTTTTATTTCATGATAATACCGGTCTGGTCTCTCCCTCTGAAATTGCAGCCTAGTAAAAGTGCATACATAGTGGCGGAGTCATAAATGTTCTGCCCTTGATGGCGCTCAGTAACATAGGATTTCCTGTGTTCCTCAGCACTGTCTTGTGGCGCTAGTATCATACAAACTGCATCTGCCCAGCGATACAATGGGTGGAACATTTATGAATCAGTCCCATAGTGTGTGGAGTCAGTGCAACATTTTTGGCTCTCTCTGTACAGTATATCCATACAGATTATGGTGAGATGGGACTAAAGCAGTAAAAAAATCTCTCACTCTAATCACTGCACAGTAAAGTCTTCTTAGAACAGAAGGTGATCATATGTCCCATTCCCCAAAAAAAGGGGAAGTACTCCTTATTCCAGAACAATGGGCGGAGCCATGCAAATCATTGCTTCACACCCCAACTGGACAGATACACATCCATAGCCTAATATTATAGATCTGTGTATTACAGTCTGCATACAGCTGTTCCAGGCTATTTGGCCTTCATCAGTGCAGTGTATGGAAACCATGGCTTCTATGGAGTAGGGTTTGGGACCCAACGGGACAGTGTAACCATACAGGTGTTGGTGAGAAGAGACTAAAGGAATCAAAAAGACCCCAACCCACCCGTAGTGCGGTGCAGGCAAAAAAAAACAATGCTTGTATGTAATGAGATAGATAGTCTGTAATGTAAATGTGATAGATAAAGCGGTCCGACCTCACACATATAGACACAACATCCGAGAGAAATGATTCTGATTAAAATATCATTTATTTCTAAAATAAGCCAAAAATTCCAATAAACACCCAAAACACGTCCCATGGTGACTCTAACAACCATTGTATGTAGAAGAGAAGAGTTACAAAGTAAAAGTAAAGATGAGAAAGTAGAGAGATGAAGACATGGAGATCCTTAGACATGGCGGGTGGACCAAGGATCTGACCTCTTCATCTGACCTCCAATCCTGGACAGTTGTCATGGAGGACCATCCAAAACATAAACATGTGACCTATGACATCATTGAGTGAAGAATTTGTACAAGCAGCACATCATTCATTACAAGAGACATTCATTTCTGTCATCTCAGAACACCTCATCAGCTTGTCCCACCTCCAGACCCCCAAATACCTCATTGTAGAACAAGGAGACCAACTGTCACTGTGTTCTACAACAAGACATTCCAAGGATCCGGAGAACAACCATTTGTTCTAATCACATCTTTCTGTAAAGTCATTCCAGCAAGTCAGCCTGTTATTCTAGTCCCTCGTATGGTGACCCCTCCCCCATACACCATAACCCCGGGAAGTCTTACTGAGGAAATATATACCGTCCTTTCATCCTGGTCACTCTGATGACCCTCGTATGGTGACCCCCCCTCCCCCATACACCATAACCCTGCGAAGTCTTACTGAGGAGATATATACCGTCCTTTCATCCTGGTCACTCTGATAACCCTCGTATGGTGACCCCTCCCCCATACACCATAACCCCGGGAAGTCTTACTGAGGAAATATATACCGTCCTTTCATCCTGGTCACTCTGATGGCCCTCGTATGGTGACCCCTCCCCCATACACCCCAACATTTTCCTCTATGAGCAGAGATGATTGCTTCTATATTTTATATCTCTGTCATCTTTGATCTTTGTGCAGTGATCAGTCCTTATATTAAGTTCATTTATAAACCTTCATATCTTCTTCTATGTATTTGTTATTTATATACAAACTTCTGATTTTAATCATTGACAGATTTATATTTATACAACTTTATTCTTAGTAGTTCAGTGAAGTTAGAGTTCAGAATATTTGTCCTTTTATATACTCTGTACATTTGTTTCTCTTTCTCATTGGATTGTTACATTGATTCTTCTTTCTGGTGTTCATTACTCAGATTGTAATATGTCTCCCCCTAGAGGCTCTTAGATGCTACATGTGCGATTCTACCAATGAGTGATGTTGGTGTATTTAGGGACTTCATATTCTATATATTCTTTATATATATTAACTGATCATATATTATGTTTATAAAATCCTAACAGCACTGTAAAGTTCTGTCTGACACGCGAGATGTTTTTAATATCCCGTACATTACTTTTGACCTTTATTAAGCAGTTACTTTTATACTGCACTCAGATCTGTGCGCCGGGTTTTATGTTTTCTTTATAGTGCTGTTACATGGATGTCTCCCTATCCCACTGACCGGGCTGCAGGATCAGCGCATACGTCTTCTATGGATTAACTATCAGAATAACCGGAGCTCCTTTATCACTAATAATATACAGTCCACAGCCAACTGATCTAGTTGTGCAAGTTGGTGACTTCTGTTTTATGTAAATAATCCTAATGTTTGCCTCAGAGTGAATCACTCTCTATGTCTATACAGTATAAAAAAAACATCCTCATCACTTCCTATTAGAATGCGGCCTAATCAATCTGCTTACATACTCTGCAGGGAAGGTGCAATATTTCTGGCTTTAGTGTCTGAAATAATACTCTCTCATTTTTATTTCATGATAATACCGGTCTGGTCTCTCCCTCTGAAATTGCAGCCTAGTAAAAGTGCATACATAGTGGCGGAGTCATAAATGTTCTGCCCTTGATGGCGCTCAGTAACATAGGATTTCCTGTGTTCCTCAGCACTGTCTTGTGGCGCTAGTATCATACAAACTGCATCTGCCCAGCGATACAATGGGTGGAACATTTATGAATCAGTCCCATAGTGTGTGGAGTCAGTGCAACATTTTTGGCTCTCTCTGTACAGTATATCCATACAGATTATGGTGAGATGGGACTAAAGCAGTAAAAAAATCTCTCACTCTAATCACTGCACAGTAAAGTCTTCTTAGAACAGAAGGTGATCATATGTCCCATTCCCCAAAAAAAGGGGAAGTACTCCTTATTCCAGAACAATGGGCGGAGCCATGCAAATCATTGCTTCACACCCCAACTGGACAGATACACATCCATAGCCTAATATTATAGATCTGTGTATTACAGTCTGCATACAGCTGTTCCAGGCTATTTGGCCTTCATCAGTGCAGTGTATGGAAACCATGGCTTCTATGGAGTAGGGTTTGGGACCCAACGGGACAGTGTAACCATACAGGTGTTGGTGAGAAGAGACTAAAGGAATCAAAAAGACCCCAACCCACCCGTAGTGCGGTGCAGGCAAGAAAAAACAATGCTTGTATGTAATGAGATAGATAGTCTGTAATGTAAATGTGATAGATAAAGCGGTCCGACCTCACACATATAGACACAACATCCGAGAGAAATGATTCTGATTAAAATATAATTTATTTCTAAAATAAGCCAAAAATTCCAATAAACACCCAAAACACGTCCCATGGTGACTCTAACAACCATTGTATGTAGAAGAGAAGAGTTACAAAGTAAAAGTAAAGATGAGAAAGTAGAGAGATGAAGACATGGAGATCCTTAGACATGGCGGGTGGACCAAGGATCTGACCTCTTCATCTGACCTCCAATCCTGGACAGTTGTCATGGAGGACCATCCAAAACATAAACATGTGACCTATGACATCATTGAGTGAAGAATTTGTACAAGCAGCACATCATTCATTACAAGAGACATTCATTTCTGTCATCTCAGAACACCTCATCAGCTTGTCCCACCTCCAGACCCCCAAATACCTCATTGTAGAACAAGGAGACCAACTGTCACTGTGTTCTACAACAAGACATTCCAAGGATCCGGAGAACAACCATTTGTTCTAATCACATCTTTCTGTAAAGTCATTCCAGCAAGTCAGCCTGTTATTCTAGAAAGAACCCAACATGAGCATAGAAGCACTTAGTGATGTCATCTCATCATTAGTAACGCAAATCAGAAGGATTTTTCTTTATCACATCTAGGGACTGGAAGGTATGGGGGAGGGGTAAAGTCTAAGGACTACATATAGAGGGGAATTTACTAAGACTGGAGCAGACACAATCTGGACCAATCAGCTTCCAGCTTTCATTTTCAAAGCTTCACTGAAGAAGCTGAGGATGGAATGTGATTGGTTCCTGTTGTAAATTTTCCTTCATTTCCTGTCTGGTAAATAGTTGTTACCAGGACAGGAAGTAAGGGAAAATCTCTCTATTTGAGCCCCGGGTAGCAATAAAAACCTGACAAGGGTTCTAATCTTCCCCCACTTTATCCAGTACTGAAAAATTGATAAATCTAAAAGTTGCAGGCTCCAGGATTGTCATCCCGAGCCTGACTACACTACTTAGTGTGTCACTGACCCCGAACACGCATGCAGCCAGTGAAGTCTGAATAATCTGAACTTCTGCATGCTTGTTCTTGGTAGTAAGATGAAGATGACAAACCCGAGCCTGCAGCATTATAAATATATATTTAATGTAATTTCCTGTCCACTGCTTCCTCCTATTGGCTGAATATTCCACCAATCAGAGTCTCCGCCCTGTGATGTCACCAGTCTCTGGTCTGATTTTTTACATCTGATTCCCCCCCAGATATCTTTATACAACCTTTCCCTACATATAACCCGGCATGGAGGGGCTCATTGAATGTGGTGGTGAAGGTGTGGAGGTGTCGGATCGGGTCACACAGATCATAAAAGGAGATCCGCCCGGCCTCATAATCCAGATCTATCCTGACTCTCTTACTGGAGACATTGCCGAGTAATGGGATCTGATTATTGTCATGTCTCACTGAGTACTGAGTATGACTCCTCTCCAAACTCCAGGACTTCTTATTATCTCCAATCCCTGACTGCAATCCTCTCCTCTCTATACTGGGGTAACACATCCCGACTATCCAGGACTTTGAGCCCCCGACATCCACTTCCCAGTAATGTCGCCCTGAGGAGAAACTCTGACTGCTCAACACCTGAGAATGTTGAAATCTCTCTGGAGTTTCTGGATGTTTCTGGCTCTTTAACGACCAGGATGCAGATTTCCTGTCATCTGATATCTGTAGATTATTACTAGCTGTGTTCACATCCAGTAATATGTCTGTAACCCCCGACACCCCCAATGTTTGCTCTACAGACCCAATATCATGTTCTCCCGCCTGGAGGTATGAGTGTTGTATGGTGGAGGTGGGTTGAGGACGTGGCCTGGATAGTTTAGTTGTGAGGCGAGCTTTCTTTCTACTAAAAAGTGGATAGACATGTGTGCCTGGACCTTCCTGTACAATTACCCCAGACATGATATCAGATATACCTGTGTGTAATGTGTGTGTGATCCAAGCCACATCCAGATCCCCTCCACCATGGAGGAGTTTATCATGTCTCTCTCTGTCCTCATCATCTCCATCCTCAGTATCACACAAGTCACCTGTGTCTGGTTCCTGTAAGACAGTCAGCGGATCCGTCAGGTTACACAGCTCCTCAATGTGACGCATCTTACTGGGCAGCTCATCCTTCTTTATTTCCAGCTTCCTGATGATATCCGTCACGTGGAGGGAGATCCGCTCTGCCTGCCCGGAGATGTCACTCAGGACTCTCTTCTCCAGGTCCTCCAGACATCTCCTGAGGTCTGTGAGCAGGGCAGTGACTCTCTCTGTTTCACCAGCTGCTTTTCCTTGTACTTTCTTCCTGTGTTCCTCCAGACTCTGGACTCTTTTCTCCGTCTCCTCTCTCTCTGTCATCAGTTTCTGCAGAATGTTTCTCCATTTCTTCTTCTTCTTCTCAGAGGCCTCATCCAGAGTCTCCACCTGATGTCCCCGATGCTCTCCAGCCAAGCTGCAGGACACACAGATACAGGCAGAGTCCTCAGTGCAGTAATACTCCAGGATCTTCTTATGGATGGAGCATTTCATGTTCTCCAGGGAAGTGGTGAGGTCACATAAGATGTGTTCTGCTGACTTGCTGTGGACTCTCAGGTGGTTGTCACACAGAGAAGCTTCACACAGCAGACAGGATTTCACAGCAGGTACAGGAGCATGAATACAGTAAGTACAGAAGATCCCGGACTCCTCCTTATCTGGCTGAGCAGACAGGACATTCTCCACAATGTTATGCTGTGTTATGTTCCTCTGCAGTGCAGGCCGCTCCTGGAACTCAGCTCTACATTCAGGACAGGAATACACTCCATACCCCTCCTGTGCATCCATCATAAGATCAATACATTCTCGGCAGAAGCTGTGTCCACATTTCAGAGTTACAGGATTTGTATAAGTGTTCAGACAGACGGAACATACCAGCTCAGCTCTCAGATCAGCAGACGCCATCGCTGACAGCAGAAGAGGGAAGTGAAAGCCTCCGACACTCATTAACCAGTGTGACCGATTCTGTACATTCCTACACAGGGCAAGGCTGAGACTCGTTTTCATAGGAATCCTTATTCAGAGGACACAGATAATACATGGGAGGATTCCTGACCATAATCTCCATATCTGGGTGTAAAGAAGGGGGTAGCCCTGAACCCCATTCTCTGCTCCCCTATCCTCCCCAGCTCCTTGTTGGTCCCCCCTTCCTCGCTCCCAGCCTCCCCCAGCTACAGCAGCCTGGGCTTGCCTCCCCCAGCTACAGCAGCCTGGGCTTGCCTCCCCCAGCTACAGCAGCCTGGGCTTTTATGTCTGACACAGAGGCAGCTGAACAAAGGGGTCATCTACAGATCTTCTAAACTGTACACTGAGCAGACCCACAGTGCTCTTCATCTATCCTGCTGGCTTTTACAGTCAGAGGTCTGCAGATCATAGGAGCCCTGCTGTAGGTTAGGCCTCTGACAGACTGAACCGTCACCGGGGCTGTTGGAGGAGCCTGAGGGCTATCCTCCTTACTACTGACTACGGACCTAGGGCTGTAGAGATTTATTACCCCGGAGAACTTTGTTTGCTGTGTGTGTTTTCCAATTTAATACTTTATTATTAGAGAGAGAGAGAGCTTTTCACTATTTGACTCGATTTGAACCATCCGGACTTCCATCTTGTTTGGATATCATCTCTGCTAAACATATTTTTTGAAGGCAGCAGGCTGTCTGTCTGGCCATTGTTTGGGATGATCTGATTAAGGGCATTCATTAGGTTCAAAGAGTGTCTGTACTTAAGGAATTCCTATACGGCACCCGGCTGTCTGGCTGTCTAAGGGGATTGGTCAATGTAACACAGTGAACTCTTATCTGATTCTGTGAGGTATAAACTCTGTGTGCTTTCTTCAATAAACCAGTTCATGTTTCCACTCCAAAGTCAGTGTTGTCTGATTCCTGGGGTAAGCCCATGCTATATTCACTTGCTTCTGGCTCCAGCACCCAGGGAACAGGCTTAAGACGGACATATCCAGTCGGGGTATCAGGAAGTCCGTTACAATTGGTGGCAAGCGGTGGGATCTGCTTCCTTCCTACGGAGCAGTCCAAACCACCAACGGGATCCATTTCTCAGGCGGCCGAGGAAGGACTCAAGGAGTGAAGCAGCCATGACCCTGGCAGTGGAGTACTCCAACTGGTTGCGGATCATCTGCCAAAGGGAGAAAGGGGTCTGTCTACGCAAGACTACTTCACCCTCAGGCAGACGGCACGGACAGCTCTCTGAAATATTACCGAGGCACACGAGGGTTGATTTCATCCATTTACAGAACAAAGGGTCCGGGATCAGATGGCCCTGCGAATGGTTATCCTGGGAGAGCAGCCTCAGAAGCATTGGGTGGTTGATTTGCAGGAGTTGGTTCAGCGAGAGGTAAAGCTGGATGAATGGCATCGGGCCCTGCATTGGTATGCAGAACAAACTCAGCCAGGAATTACAGCTAAATATCCAGAAGGATATGACTTTGGCGACCCTGGACTGTTGTGGGACACCCTGGTGGATATGGTTGAGTTTGGGGATGATGGGGACTCTGCCCTGGAGGACCTTTTTGCATACCGGGAAGACTTGCTTGGTTTGGAGGGGGTTCTGGAGCTGAGAGCTGATTTGGAGTTTGTGGTGAAACAAGAATAGCGACTGGGAAAGGAATACAAGGAGCTGCTAGGACGCGTCCAGCAGAGTGTCTCAGACCCAGTGGAAACCACATCCCCAGAGACATGGGATTTAATGGACTTTTCTGTGGAGGTTGTACAACTTGCTCAGTCCCCAGGTGAGGTGCTGGCAATAGGGCAAAGGGTTGCAAGCCTCTGCCCAGCACCTGGTACAGCCCCAGGGTTCCAGGGAGAGGAGGCAGATGGTCTCTCTCCCCAGTGGCAGATGGAGATCCAGGGAGAGGAAGCAGCCGGCCTCTCTTCCCAGTGGCAGATGGAGAACCAGGGAGAAGAGGTAGCTGACCTCTCTCCGCAGTGGCAAATGGAAATCCAGGGAGAGGAGGTAGCTGACCCCTCTCCCCAGCGGCAGATGGAGCATCTGGAAAAAGGTGCAGCTGACACTAATCCCCAGTGGCTGAGTGCTTCCCAAGGAGAGGAATTAGATGTCCCTTCATCCCAGCGACTGGAAGAGCATCATGGAGAAGGTACAGCTGCCATTTCTTCCCAGCAGCTGGAAATTTTCCAGGGAGAGAGTGTACCCGACACTTCTCCCCATCGGCACCCAGGAGGTCATGTGGGCAGCATCACTCTACTTCAGCAGAGTCAAGCGGACCATTTGGAAGAGCTTTTGGATTTATCTTGCCCGACTAACACAGGTCCAGACCAGTTGGTGGTCTGGTACCTGGTTAGTCTACTGTTGGGAGGGGAGAAATGTGACAGACTAAACCGTCACTGGGGCTGTTGGAGATGCCTGAGGGCTAGCCTCCTTACTACTGACTACGGACCTAGGGCTGCAGAGATTTATTACCCCGGAGAACGTTTGCTGTGTGTGTTTCCTGTTTAATATTTTATCTAGTGAGAGGGCTTTTCACTATTTGACTTGATTTGAACCATCCGGACTTCCATCTTGTTTGGATATCAGCTCTGCTAAACATATTTTGTGAAGGCAGCAGGCTGTCTGGAGTGGCCATTGTTTGGGATGATCTGATTAAGAACATTCATTAGGTTCAAAGAGTGTCTGTACTTAAGGAATTCCAATGCGGCACCCGGCTGTCTAGGGGAGGGGATTGGTCAATGTAACACAGTGAACTCATATCTGATTCTGTGAGGTATAAACTCTGTGTGCCTTCTTCAATAAACCAGTTCATGTTTCCACTCCAAAGTCAGTGTTTTCTGATTCTTGGGGTAAGCCCATGCTATATTCACTTGCTTCTGGCTCCAGCACCCAGGGAACAGGCTTAAGACGGACATATCCAGTCGGGGTATCAGGGAGTCCATCACAAGGCCCACTTGGGCCCCTGCGTGCACATATAAGATTGTAGGTGTCGGTAAAACAATCCTCTGAAGACCAATAAATCGGTTATTTGGAGCCTTCTGCAGCTGCCATGATGTGAGTGGGCTTGTTGTGATCGGGCTGACGTGCTGGTATCGGAAATCCAACCTCAGGCATCAGAACCGGGGGGCCCAAATAACCTATGACCACTTCAGAAGGCAGAACCTCTCCTCCAAGCAGGTAGGGTGACAACTCCTAAAGTGATTGGCCAAAGGGCTAGAGCTCCTCCCACACCCAAGTCCCAATAATTGGGGAGCTGGAACTATGAACGTTGTATTCATCTGGGAGAGTGTATCTAAAGACACGTTGTTTACAGATTTCCAGCGTTCTCCCGCCAGCAGGACAAACAATACTGACCAATGTAAGTTTGTATCTGCATGTGTGTTCGGCAAGCTAACTTTGGGAAAGTCACCCTCTAGTGGAAGGCTGTGGTATTAAACTCTGTGATGATTGTTTCACAGGAGTGTTTTATCAACCCAAAGTAAGTGCTCTCCTTCTTCCTCCGGATGAGGACCCCACTCCAGTTAGCAAGTTGGCGCAGTCAGGACCCCATCTGTAACATTCTGCTGGCAGTGGTGGGATAAGTTTAGTGTATTAGTGCACAATGTACACATCCTGTGTGCTATTGGCTGGAAACTTGTTATAAATGAGGGGCCTACAGAAGTCCACTCAGTGCATAGTTTTCTTTTTGTAAATACATACTTGGCTATTAGCTCCCCTCCCCCTCTTGTTTCCTTTCTACCTTTATTTTGGGCAAAATGGCTGAGAGAGTGATCAGCTACATGAAACAAAGCCGAGATGACCTGATGAATCTGTGTGAGGTCAGAGTCATCCACACCACGAGAGGCCAGATGAAGCAGCAGCTGATCTGCACCCTGTTTGATCATGATTGGGCAGAGCAAGCCCCTGCTTCAGAGTAACATGATCTGGATCATGCCCCTGCAGAGGAGGAACAGTCTTCCCCAATACAGCATGAGGATGGATGTGATGTATCAGGTTATCAAGTTGACACCCAGATGCAGTCCTTGCAGGCCACCATACAACTAGTGCATTATGATGACCCAACACTATGCTTCCAGCTCATTCTGCATCTTCAAGACAAGTCAAAGCTAGGCAGAGCAATAAAATCGGGCAGAGAAGAGATGAGCAGAGCAACAAAGTCAGACAGAGGAGAGATGAAGCAGAGCAGCAAAGTCAGACAGAGGAGAGATGAAGCAGAGCAGCAAAGTCAGGCAGAGGAGAGATGAGCAGAGCAGCAAAGTCAGGCAGAGGAGAGATGAAGCAGAGCAACAAAGTCAGACAGAGGAGAGACGAGCAGAGCAACAAATTCAGGAAAAGGAAAGGGGATCAGAGCAGCAAAGTCAAGCAGAGGAGAGACGAGCAGAGCATCAGGCAGAGGAGAGACGAGCAGAGCATCGGGCAGAGGAGAGACGAGCAGTGCATCAGGCAGAGGAGAGACGAGCAGAGCATCAGTCAGAGGAGAGACGAGCAGAGCATCAGGCAGAGGAGAGACGAGCAGAGCATCAGGCAGAGGAGAGACGAGCAGAGCAGCAACACCAGTTGGAGTTAGCTAAACTCCAGATGCAACAGAATGGATGTGCTGGTTCCCTGGAGTGCAGGGAAAAGCGTGTCTTTAAAATTCCCCTGGACAGGTTCTCCACCATGGACAGAAATGGTATTATGGACACTTTCCTACAAGGATGTGAAGACACTTGTCATCAGTACTGCCTGCCAAAGGAGCAAGGGGCACGGGACCTTACCCCAGGGCTGAGAGGCAAGGCCCTGAATGCATTTGTGAGTCTCCCAGAAGGCCAAGGAGGGGACTATGAGGTCATTAAGCAGGCTATTACTAAACAATACCACCTCACACCAGAGGTGTATCTTGACCTCTTCAGGACATTGCAGTGTGGTCCTAATGACGACTACATGGACTTTGCTTGCAGTGTACG